GCCAGTACATAATTGAGTTTGTAAAGCTTAAATGGAATTTTAGTTCAAGTCGAGTAGAGGGCTGTGCGGAGAAGGTGTGAAAGTCGATATGAAACTTTGCACACTATCCGCAGAATGTCGGGAGCTTGTAGATGGGCATTGTCGGATATATTCAGGTCTAGAAACATCAATATGAGTTGTAGCAAATGCAGAGTAACCAGGTTGCTGACTTATTTGATGTACTAAATTTGTTGGTGTATCCTGTATGAAATTGGTTGTTGAAGGCTGTAACAAAATGTTACGTGAAGGAAGTGTTACGGAAGATTGAATATGTTGTCTGTTGGCTTTTATCCTTCGACATACTTGAAGTATTTCAATTTTGGCTTGAAATTTTTCGTCGTCTGTCATAGACTGTAACGTAGGAACTAAAGAGAGAGCAAAATGTTTGTCTTCGTCTAAATCATCTTTTAGTATGTTTAACAAAGATTGAATGAATTCCTCCGTATCCTCCGTTATAGTTCCCGCCATGGTGACAAGTGACGTGCCGCCGCTTTGAATGCTTTTACGAGACTGGCAGTCGCGAATCAACTGTTTAATCGACAGTCTGTGCACATCAATACAATGCAATACAAATTGAGCGCTTGATCGATAGTTGTACAACTTTCAAATCAAAAGCAAATCGATAAAGTTTTTTGATTGTTTTGTCGACCAACTATCGAGTTGACAGTATGCGCGCTTTTTAGTTTTTAATATATTCTTTTAAACATATCATTCACAATTAAACAGTTGTTCAACTAAAAGTTGTATGTATGCGCTAGCCCTTACCCTGTTCGATTTACCATTCGATTGTCCGGGGTTTGGTTCCTGGGGCAGACGCCCAGAAGTTACATACATCAATTATATTATTATGATGCGATTACTTCATTAAATTAACAATTCTGTTTGATATATAGATGCAATATAAACAAAATTTATTAGTTAAGCAGTTAAAATAAATAAATTTATATCAAATCAAATTAATTTATTTGGCAAACATACATTGGACACTTACAGATAATAAATGGTTTATGTTTATGATATCATATTATTATGATATGAACATACAAAGGATCACAGCATGCGGAATAACATTTTTGGCAAAGGGGGTCAGAGGGACCGGTTCATTGTGGGCATGCGCGGGCGCACCGATGGACGGCTCGTGTCCGCACGAGGTACAGATCTAACTAGTCGAATAAGCAACTTGGATCTAATCCGCGTATAATAAAGAAAACCTCATACCTAGTTTAAGATTTCTACATAATTATTTAATTAACAATTAAAATAACGAAAGTTGTGTTTTATTAAATTTTTAAGAAAAAAAAAACATTTTTTGCGACTAAAAATGATTCATACCGGTTTGTTTCTGTTAATTAAGTCAAGTTAAATTATGTAACTGATAGTTTAATTTAAATGTCGGACTGTAAGTTTATACACATACACTACAAATATTAATATACTTCTCATGGTCAAATTGAACACGATAAATTTAGTCCAAACTTTAAACTACTGTTATCGGTGTTGAATTCACACCTGCCCGCTAATGTGTAACCTCTAGTTTGTCTGTGGTAAGTGTCAGACATGTTACCATGCCATTACATATTAAATAAATAGATAATTCTCACATCAGATTTATAGACCAGCTCTAAGACCCGAGAAGTTTCCAATTTGATTTCTGACCGAGATACAATGTAAATAACAAATATAACTTTTGTAATGTAAAGACGCATAAATAGCTCAGGAACTACGCTACTGAATGATTAAAGTTAAAGTGGCGTTCACATTACCCACAGATCATAAACACAACGATGTCAATTCGCCACCACGTTTTGTAACTGATTGTACCCCGTTGAAGTGTGGCAACACAGTTTCGCATGACCTTTCAAACTGAACTGATTACCCAAACTTGTTTAATTGCAACTTACCAATTTTATTACAATCATCATATACTTGTAGCTTATTCCCAGTGAGACTGAATTGTATCACAAATACAATTCAGTCTGTCACCTGACGCTGCCCCACGCCCTCCGAATTAGACTAGGGTCATATGAAACCGACCATCGACTCAACAGACTGTTGCACTATATAAATAATAAATAATCGCTAATGAAAACAATGCGAAGGAACTTCAAGACCCACAACCTACTTGCAGTGTTCCGTCGCAAGTGAATATCAATCTAAACACGTCTATCGTAAGGTACAATTAACAGAGGTGAGTGCGGTATCATCACTTGCGCAAAGCGATTCCTCCCTTGACCCGATTGCGTCTGAACTAGAATCGAACGTAGAATAGAGCGCCGTTAATCACCGTGTTCTTCTATAGGTGTTTGTACACACCCGAATAACAAATAAAACTCAATAGTTTCTCTACGATAGAAGCGATGACAATAATTTATTGCAATTAATACTCAATAATTATATAACAATCTAAATCTGAACACTCCTCCATACAAAATGAGAAAGCACTCGTGTTAAGGAAATTACAAACTTTAACGGCGTTAACTTTCTTTGCAAAAACAATACTCTTGGCGTGCATTTTTGGAATTTGTTATCTCAAATCCATTTTGTTGGGCGCTCTTTTTTCTTTTTCGGACCTTACTACAACAATTACAATCACATTGTAAACCATAATTAACCTTGCTTAATCATGAATCAACGTGTTATTACTGACAGTACTTTCCTTGGTACGCAGCAGCAAAAGCATCTTTGTATTACAGAATATACAAGGCTCCTACTAGCTGAGTTTCAGCCGTGATCTTGTGACCTCATGTAAACAGACTATCGAGGTCAGCGTACAGGCGGAAAGAAACTAATGGAAAACATCTAACAAATACGTGGTGTTCCATACTCGCCATATGCTCTTCTAGATTTGTATTAAATATTTTATGTGTAGCTCGATAAAAATTTATTATACTGAACAAGACAGGAAATGTTAACTCGATATTTTCCTCAGTTTAAAACGGCATAAGGGCCACACCACACTGTCGGTCGGTACGATACGGCAATGACAACGAACGCGAAATAGTTTAGAAAGATTACTTATCGTGTTAATGTAAATATTAATACTATACGTATCGAATATAACAGTACTGAATAGGTAACTTTTCGAAATGTATTTGTGATCAGAGTTGTTTTCTATTCAGCGTGTACACATCTAGTGGAGCTGATACAGATCCCGTTCTCTATATTGTATTTTGGAACTCGTGTCAAAAGAAGTCGAAATACTGTCTGTCCATGATGTTCTTGCTGCTGCATCACTGATCACCTCGAAATAATTCGAGAACTTGTCTTGAAACGTAGTGCAGTTTTAGTAAATCTAAAATCTGCTCGCCTACAGCGGGTAATATGTCCGTAGATATTCAGTTGTACACAGCGGTCAAATGTTGTATAACGTTAAGCATCACTAATGCTAATACGTCATCCGATGTATCGATGCAGCGCAATAGTATCGAGGCGCACATCAGCACACGCGGACGGATATAAATCTATTAATTCATGACCTGATCCTGAACAACGAATGCGATCGCTCCCTCCCTCCTAACATAATAATCATTTTATTTTTCCCACAAACTTATACAAGTACTCTTTACCCACTCTGCTTTTCTCTTGGCTCGGTGATATATATCATCGTTCAGATCCGAGTTTCTTCTTCATAATCATCTCTTTTCGTTATAGATTTTTGTTACTTCACTTGATTACTTTTACCATTTTGAAAATCGCCTCAGCAGAGAAGTCAACAGTATTCATCCATAGTGACCGATGCAAGAATTGTTATAGTTATCTTATTGTTTGCTATTTTCTAAAATAAACTAAAAGGTAATATGGACTTCTATTTCAGCAATATAGGTACATCGTTGAGGTTAGTTTGCGGTCATTGTCGAATTCAGACAGAGCGTAGGTGACATTGTGCGTGACAAAAAACATTTCGTAGAAAGTAAGTGACAAAAAAAACATCTTTGACGTGTATCGGTAGAGCTTTGTGACGTATGCACTCGTATTATCTGGTTCTGTTATCAAAAATTTTCGGTCACCCATTTCCGATAATTCGTTTGCGTGAAAGTTTTAAACTCCGAAATCGCGTACCAATGCCGCATCGAGCTCCTGTATACATTTAAAACAATGGACACTATAACATGAAGTATTTAATTGAGTCTACTTTGTATCCAGCGGCTGTCGATACGGCGCGCCGGCAACCTTGAACTCTAGACCTTCAATCTAAGCTACAACAACAGTATACTCTGATCAAGTCTTTAAAATGTTTATACTATTATATAGAAATTATGCATTTTATTCTTTTAGCGATGATAATATAATATTTTTTATGAATTTTATTCTTCATATAATAGGTATAGTTATGGTAAAACATCTATAACGCCTTCTCGACCAGTTAACATGTCCAAAGAAATATTTTGTTAAAAAAATAAATAATTAATAACTAATAAATAAAGTTAATTAAATGCTTAAAGTTCCACTGTGATATTGGTCCGCGTAGTGCATAGGGTTGCCAATCATAGGAACATAATTTTAATTGAACTTAAAATTACAAAACAATCGCTAAATAAATATATTAAATTGTCACATCTAAACTATAAGAAATATTATATTAACTGCTTTTAGAAATAAAACTACTACACTCACATTCGGTTTCAGAATTGAGTATTTAAAGTAAAGCACGTGTCAAACTTACTTACACGTCACTTAAATAGGTTTTCGTTTTTGATTCTAATTTTTTTAATGATCAGTTGATAGCAATTTGATAAAAACTAGGACTTTTAAAAGGCCTTGTGAAAAGTTAAAAACTTGAGTTTTTTGAGATTTTGTACTTTTCTCAATTGTAAGTATTTAAAATATCTAAGTAATTAACCTGTCGAAAAACAATGTAGCGCACAAATTTGTAGTAGTTAGTAGAATTTTAATAATTTTTTATCACAACTAAAATTTTTAAATGAATTTTTTTAATAAACTTATTTTTTTTTTGGATAAATTTGGCTTTATTTAAGAAGCTTTCTGCTATTATCACATTTATATAACATATGTTTTATCTGCCTATCACTCCGGGAAACGGTCGTAGTACACGGTATGGTAATCAAAGCAACCCTACGCGCTCGCCTAGCGACTGACTGGGCCTACAACAGTCGGTCGGGATGAAAGTGACCTCGGGCCCCGTCTGCCGCCGAGTCATGCACCCCAGGCAGGGTCTGCGCACTGTGACGTAACACATCTAGGTCTCTCGGGGGCGTGGAGGTCGTTCAACTACCTCATGATCTTTCGTTTACAGTTCAATTGTTAAAATTATATGTTACATCTGATCAATATGAAGCAACAGACAACACTACCCAGACTTCTACTCTACTGTTAGTAACGAGCCAATCAGTAATTTTCGTATATCTACGAAGTAAATATTAAAATATTATGCTAATTATACATTTCCATAACCAAAATTCGCGCTGTTTGCCAATTTCAAAAGGTTATTAAGAGTTGGGAAGTTTCTTTTTCTAAGTCTTCCATATCGCAACATCTACATACATACATTCAGCGGTTATTTTTACAACGTAAATTTATGTTTCCAAATATAATGTTCGGTCATAACTTTCGCAAAGAGGCATTCTATTTTAATTTTATTATAATTAGCTAACTTTTAACCGAGACAAGAATCGAGTTAACAATACTGTTACAAATGATTGAATGGTGGTTTTGGTGGTGGGCCGTGGAATAGTGATGTGTTCATCACTTGAACGACGCCGGTAATGGTTTAACATAATGTAACGGCACACAACTATACTATAGTTGTTTTAAATATATTAAACTATCTTCCACTTTAAACAATATCATCGGGCAAGCACTCATGTGCGTGAGTTTGTTCATATTAAGGCTGGTGATGGAGAGTGGACAGTTGACCCAATAATTAATTATCGTCTTATGAGAGAGACAAAACAAATAACTGAACCGACTTACCGAGTATAAGATGGAGTTTAGCGTCTGTCTGGAACGCGTAGTGCAGTGTCACCAGGAACGGACATTCCCGTACCGCTTCCAGGACCTGATCGAGATATTTACTCTTATATATAAAGTTAACAATACGGTACAATAAGACACACTAGCAAATTAAATAGAAATCGTTTATTTAATCTAGGCCACGTAATTCTACGGCCACCTTATACTGAGAAGAACCTACCAGAAACTCAAGCAAAGGCAGCTTTTCTCTTTAAGAGAGGGAGATGCAACTGAAAAGTCTAGCTAGAGTTTACAGATATAAAAACTAGTAGCAAAACATCTAAAAAACATTATTCACGTGATGCTAAGCTCACAAATAAAAATGAAGTAAGCGACACTATAGATAATACATCTATATGTTATTGACACGGTAAAAACTCTTGAATAAGTAATAAGATCCCCTCCGAGAAGCTTCTTAAGCAATATCTGGCTATTGTATCTATAAATAGAGATCGGGACGTGTTTTGTTCCTATGCATATTGCAATAGTTCACATAAGGAACAGTTTACAAATAAACTTACGACTATTTTCATATTTATTTTTGGTGTTATTAACAGTTACATCTCATTGTACGCCACGGAGCGACGACACAAGCAGTACGTGTGTGGCTGGTGGTACTGGTGGTAGCCATCCGCTAGATGCCAATACTAGACGTCAATACGAGATCAGTACACCGCATCTATTGTGCGGATGTGGCACCAATGTTCGGGGCTGCCGAATATCGGTGACGGATCCAAGACGGATTAAGCCGTTACCAAATGAGTAGCTGCCGTGACATCCTTACCAGATATAGCGCTGAACGCCCTTCAACAGGCACATTAAGACGTTGTTCCTGGCTGCACTATGCCCGCCTTACGAGCCCGTTTTGGGTGACTCCATGTCTGGTCTGGTCAGGCCTGTGCCCCAGCAGTGGGCGGGGGACATGACAACTATACGGTTATCAAAACAAAACTCACCTGTCTTTCTGTCCGCGTGTGTTCTGCAGTCTTTAACTTCTGTACTATTGACGCCTTCTTGAGAACCTTCATTGCATATAATTTCCCTACGTCGACGCCACATCTTTTTCTAACTAAGAACACTTTGCCGTAAGCTGAAACAAAGAGAAGTGGTCATTAGAACAGTGATGTTATATCAAGGCCAAGGTAATACCTTAATGACTGAACAAGTAGGTACTGAAAGTTTGCTCACTCCCCCCATCTAAGGTCGTTATTTTAACTGGGTATAATACATAAGTATGTTTTAGGCATAATATAGGTTTAAAGGTATAACATGTCAGTTATATAATGTCCTATTAAAATAACCATAATCGCTCATACTGCAACCAGCTCAGCTTTTTAAGTGAATTATTTATTATTTTTAAGAGCATCTACCCTTTTTATAACCGAATTTTCAGTTATCCAAAACGGTATGTAACTTGTAGAAGCAGCACTACAATTATTAATTTAAATCATGCAATCAAATTTATCCTAAAATCAAATACATTAAGTCAGTATTTCCGAAACCAGGGTCAAACGAATATTGAGCAAGTCCTAATGGATGATTCGCCACTGTATAAGGCATACCTATATTTATGCCCTCTTTGTCTCTAAGACAGCTAAAAGTTGAGTTCCAAAATTAGAATGTTTCGTTAGGTGGGTCGGAGCCGAAACAACTTTGGGAACCACTACATTAAGTCTTAATTTTATGTCTAATGGAGGAAATGTATTTATTGGTAAAAAAACCGCACTCAAATCAGTACATTCATTCAGGAGCTACGGTGCCACAAGCAGACATATACGGGTCACACTTATAAACACCTCATACTTTACATAATATTGGTTATCATAAATGCTGTGACCGCGGTCCGTCTGTTGCCGAATGCTGGGCGAAGTGTATTACACTTAGCAAAAAAACATAGCCCTTATATTTTGCACACCACAATACACCTTGTTGAAATATGCCACATCCGAAGAAAGGTGTAAAGGTTCTTTATAACTGCCGCTCATTGTTATTTCCTAGCGATTTGTTTGAAAAATCTGTGTTTCATTGTTCGAAAATGGATGATTTTACGACAGAAAAAAAAAAACGAAAGGTTTCCGGAAAATGTTATTTAAAAAAAAAGGTTTGGCGATCGTGAAACAATGGCTATGGATGTACTAAAGAAGGGGCAGCTTATTGGGGAGCTCCGTGAACACATCTTACTTACAATGAAGTTGTGCCTATTACCTTTAGTTGTTAGTTGGTTAATCATATTTAAATTTACCAACGAAGATAGTTATAAGTATTATTGGAGTGTGATACTATGTAAAGTTTAATTTTAATCTATTCCAAATGTTTCGGCACTGAGATAATAAAACTATTTGCTTATTTAATGAAGCCTATATACGAGTATTTGTAAAATAAAGGTGTTTATTTATTTCTTACAAAAACTAAGATCTTTTTGAGCTACTCTCACTTTTAATTCCGAGAAAATCTTGAAAAAGAATTACAGTGTTAGTGTGTTTCTGTATTTTCAGCAAATTTCAAGTCAATATTATGTATGAAACACTGAATACAACAATGTGATTTTATACGTAACGTATTGGGGGCTGCAGTGTCACATTTCAGATGTGTATTTATGTATTTGTACGTGGACGACGGTACAATGATCGTCACCAGCTAACTTAGGTTACATTTATCTTTAAAGTTTAATATTAATTCATTGCGCATTGAAGTCGCATGTTTAGATAAAAATGTACGAGTACAACCAAAGTTGTACATTTTAATCGATCCTCACTAGCGAAGGTACCTTTTTATTAAAAAGTGGATATGGAAGCAGCTGCGTTCAACCAGAGACATCGGATACATCCGGTCCGGACCAGTCTACTGGACGCTAGGTGGCGCTAGTCACTAACAAGATTACTGGACATTTGACAACTTTTCTCTTTTTGTCTACAAACAGGGACATGTGCGAGTGAAACATTAAATAGCGGTCGGGACCGTTTCAAATATGGCTTAAATGAATCTACCTTAGGTACCCAATTAAGAAAGAGCCCTAAATAAGTAGTAGCTAATAAAGTATCTAGTATCCGCATACAAAATTGATTCAAATCAAATTCTTCATTGAGCTTGTAACAGATAATGTTAGACTAGGTAAGTCGTACACATTCATTATTCATTTACAAATATATTATTATACATATGATATGTTATTATTAGTTTTAAAAATAATATTACAATTTTAATATCAACTTTACAACATCACACATTTTCCAAACAAATTATTAGTGAATTAATATCACATAATTTCTTTATTATTATTATATTATTTTCGCGCATTTTTGATCTCATTTAATTTTTAACAAAACATCAATCAATAAATAAAACCTAAATTCTAAAACAATTTCATCCTTCAATGGCATATTGATAAAATCTTTAAAAGTAGAAAAGCTTTTTTTCAAAGAACATTTTAATATTAATTTTAGATTTATTACTATCTTAATTTGTTATTGATATTGGTAATTTATTATAAATAACTAACTTATTATATTTTCCTTGCTTTTGTACTTTAGTACTTTAGGTAATATTAATTTAAGTTTGTTTTTAAGATTATATTCGTGTATAGGCATCCTTTTGACATAGCTATCTCAATTTTCATGTATTTTTAACAACCTTTATATAAATACAATGATATAATTTCGAAAAAAATCTTATTGTTTTTTTTGGGGCTATGAGAACTCTCTTAACATTTACGCCATTTCCTTTTACTGTTGTACTGTAACTAAATTAAAGAATGTACATACGCATATTAAATTGTTACACTGGCTCGCCTTTTGCATAATTTTTCAATGTGAGGTCATCATCATCAGCCTTTTTACGTCTCCACTGCAGGGGCTCAGGCCTTCCTTATGGATGGTGAAGGAGGATGGGCCATGACCCTCCACGCTGGCCCAATGCGGATTGGAGGGTATAAACGACTGCAAATGCAGCCGGGACCAACGGCTTAACGTGCCTTCCGAAGCACGGAGTAGCTCGAGATAATAAAATTTTTGGTCACCCATCCCGTGACCGACCCTTGCGAAAGTTGCTTAACGACTACGATCACGGGCCGCGGCGCTAATCCACTACACCACCGAGCTACTATGCGAGGTAAACGGCTCGAATTATAATCAATCGTATGGCCTATTAATAAACGCTCTTGTTTTACGTCGTTTTTGTGTATTCGTGATTGGTGTTTAATTATAGTACTTCTGTCTGAATTCAGTACAATACTGTTCGCTAAAAATCACTCTTTAAAGTTTTTAATATAACCGTTATCCTTTAATTTATCAACTTATACGGGACTCCGTTGATTGGTCAAAAATGGGAGGAATGGGTCCCGACTATTGATCCTTCTATTCCGCTTTTGAATGTATGAACTATTTTAATGGAGCAGTTATTCAGTAGTACCTACTTAATAACATTCCAAACTACGGGGCTTGTTTGTCATATATTTTTTTCACTTTTAATTTTTTCAACTTTTCTCTTCTTTACTTGTATTTGTTCATTAATTATTTTCCATGTCTGGTCTATTTTTATTATTTGAATTTTTAATACGATATGCATATATATTTTTTTTCTTTCTGTAACACTGCTCTAAAGGTATTATTATATTTTTAATTAGTTCTTCCCTTTGTTGACAAGGATACATATCTTGTAAAAAGTTTTGTTTATTTGTTTGTACATTTCTTAAAATTAGTGGCCTTTATCTGTCTACTCTTTTAAGGGAAAGCCATTCAAAATAGAATACAATAGCTTCAACTAGTACGTATTCGCATCATTTCATTAGAATCCATTATAGTTGAAATTTCGTCAATCAGATTATTATAATTTTTGTAACATTAAAAACATAAAATATCTAACATTATTCTGTGTAAAACTACGTGTCACTTTGTAAGTAATGTTATTTGGTTTTGATTGCACTGTGATCTGATAATACTTCACCATACAAATCATTAAAATTTACTACAAAATTATCAATACACGAAAGGGTTGGCAGATGGCCGGGATTTCCGGGATTGTCCCGCAATTTTGCGTGTTGTTCCGTGTTCAATAATTATATCCAGTAATTTTACTTTGCTGACCCGGAATGAAAAAAATACTATTCCACTAAGTTACGAAGTTATGGCGTGAGGTGAGCAAGGGGAGGGGTGACCGGCTTTAGGTTGAATAACATTTTTTTGTATTGAACAGTATAAGAATGTAATTAAAAAGATGTAAAAAAAAAATATTTTCCTACTTAGTTTAATCCCGGACCGGAGACCAAAAATCTGATTCGTTTCGTTAGTGGCCTCAGTAATATCCAGGAAATTATTCACCTTGATCTGGCAACCCTAATACACGAAGAAGATTTTCCCTGTATTCGTGGGTTCTTTTTATTTGTTTTTTTAATTTGATTTTAAAATATTTAAATTGTGATCACCGGCTATTATATATATTTTTTTATTTTCACGGGTGATCATATGTATAATTCTCGTGATCGTATCTAAGAAAATATCTATGTCTCTATCATGCTAATAACACTACAACATTTCAATAAACCGCTAAGTGACATAAACGAACATTGCAGAAGCTGTACATTATCATACTAGTATTGACTCTGAATATCGTCGGCAGATGCGTGTGACGACAAAACAGGAGCCTGAACACAAAAAAGACCTTCAGTACTGTATATATACCTCGGTACAAAAATAAGCAAAATTTTTATTTGATGCGCCCTCGAAAGATGATAACTAACCGCATCTGAAACACGTTGACATAGCTTTCACGCGTTCTAATTTTAGAAAACGTATTATTTAGATGCAGTGTAACCCACGTGACCTAGAGCGGTCGACGATCCAGTGCTATGGAATATTTATACACACACAATATGATTTATCTTCACAACACTAGAGACATCATGATCACCTTCCTGTCGCGCTGCCCTAGAGATAAGTTTCGATTTGATTGGCTTCGGCTTGCAAGACAACCGATTTACTACGGGACACAACTCGCTTCCTCGATATTATATGTACATTCGTTATCAAAAGCACCACCCTAATATAGATTGTCCATTATCCCTTTTTTATAGATTTAATGTTGTTAATTACAGTC